AAAGAATGATATAAGACAAGCAGAAAGCCGGAAACACTTGTCTTAATTGGTACCTCATGTCGTAAACTTGATCTCGAAACTCAAGCGAACAAGAACAAAGGCAAGGTTTTTAAAGGTTTTTCAAAAGTCCAAGGAAGTGAAAGAAAATTCTCCCGAAGGCCAAAAAGAGATTAAAGAACAAAAACTTGCCAAAGTTTACAACGAAAAGTAGGTTTCAGAATATAAGTGGCTATATGCTTCACAATACAAATGCTCCATGCTCAACTACCCTCCTTAAAAGGTCCTTCATAATCTTTTAAGGTATACACCTTCTACGCAATCATCAAAGACTCCCGATCAGAGAAAACCACTTCCAGTACCACATACGAGTCGATCCCGCACATTCGGAACTTCTCAGTTGTCTAATCTCAATAAGGCATCCTGAGGTTGGTCACCAGAAAAGCTATGGTGCATATATGCAAATCTCAATTATTAACGAGATAGCTCGCGCAAAGTGCTAACTCGAAACTTAGAGAGAAATTTCTAGGGTTCATAACTAACCCCAAATGCGACTAGAGTTTACCCAATAAACACTAGAATTCGAAACATAACAAGGTGGATAGTCCTAAGCCCCAAATAAAATAAATAAAACAATAAAACTCATACCTCGAGCTGGCACGGCACGACGAGAGCGAGTGGTCATAACATAAGGCCAAGCATATACTCACATAATCAAATTTTCATACTTAGACCAGTCTACAAAAATGCAGACTGGCTCTGATACCATACTGTAACGCCCAACTTTTATTTGCCAAATTTCAGAATAAATTTTTTCGAAATTTATTTCAAAATACTTGAGGCGCTACTCTTTTCAAAACCATTTTCAGCAATATCATAATTGCAACTCCCAAACTGGTTCCTCAAATTTCCAATATACAAGGAGTTCAATCCTTAACAATAATCCAATATACATTAATCAAATACATTAATAACAGTAATAATTTCATCAAACGGAAGCACTAATAATTACTATAACCACCACTCGCGTCCCTTCGCCGTGCCCACGCAAACTAACCTGCATCCATGAAGAGCAGGTGGGGATGAGCACAAGAGGAAACAATAGTGCTCACCACTATGCAGTAAACGCTATTCACAATATTGAAACAGTAATCACAAATCAATAAGGTATGGTCTCAGCATGTATACGAAACAATTATCTATCCCAATCTCCCATCAATAATCAATAATCACTCTCATGTGCACACCTATATCAATAGACTACTGCCGGCTATATATCGAATGACCCTTGACCTCACATCGAGTGCTCAGCCAGTAGGAGTAAATCCACCCCGATGGCCCTTGGTCTTACACGGGGATCACCAGCCAAGGCTCACACCCTGACTGCCAACAATAATAAAGGAGACTACCCATCGGGTACGTTCTATAGCTACGGGGATAACCGTTCGACGGCCGGTACAACTCACATCGAAGGCTACATGTTCCACATGCATACTTTGATCATACCACAAGTAAACAATAATAACAGTAATAACATTTACAACATAGCCAATTTTCAAATAAAACCCACCTGGAGACAGAGACAAACACAAAGCGAGGCTCGAGTAAGTGATGAGGTCAACACCTCAAAAACACCTACATGAAATCAAGATAGACTCTCGATTACAATCAATTCCAACGAACACACAAACTTAGTCGAAACTCGTCGACTAAGTGGCTCGTGGAAAGTTCTAGTGGATTTATGGAACATTTGACTCGACTCTACATCAAGCATGGAAAGACACATAATAGAACCCAGTGAATAAAGGAATTTCACCAAGTTTCAGCCTTACAAATGAAACCTTAAGAGTTTACAAATTCATACAAATTCTCAACATAAGTGAGCATGGATTTATTGACTAGGCAAATGAATGATTCAAGATCAACTATGTAACAAGTTCTACATCATGTTAAAGACAACACATAAAAATATCAAGTATAAACAATAAACATGTGAATTATGAAAATTAAAATAAGTTTCGGCATATAACATGATTTGAATATTTAATCATTTGCCCTAGCATATGATCTCTAGAAATTCATGAAAACTTAAAATAAAATAAACAAATAATTGGGAAGCAACTTATAGACAATTCAGTATATTAGACAGCCACACGATTTGTCATGCATTATACAAATTTTCAGAAACGACATCGACTTCTAAAATTCATAACCCGATAAATATAAGTCCAGGATGCACAAGGCCAAAGCCATTGTGATCAGGACACTAAGATGTTCCATAATCCAAGAGTCAACCACGAGTTAGCAACAGATCTTAAGGGTTTCACATTAAACCCTAAGGATCTATTGTATTTATATTCGAATAATGACTCATCTTATCATTTATATATTAACAAAGCATATAATCGAGCAATACCTAGAAAACCCACCTATTACCGTACTCCAATGAGGAGGAGACGGGGTTAGGGCTGCATACGGGTGCATTTCGAGGTGGGGTTCGACTCAAAGTTTACTTCAAGTGGCATTTCCTTACGCTCCCATTTTATGCCAAGGCGAGCGACCACTTCAAACATGTTTAAGGGAGGGTGATCCAGAAAAACGACCGGTTTCCTCCTCCGGTGTCCATCGTGCATTCCTACGACCACACTCTTACACGGCGGGGGTAGGATTTGAACAAGCTTGTCTATAACGTCTTCGTGGTCGATGATGGGGTTTTCACCTTTATGCAAGGTGTACCACAAATCGTACACTTCTTGAACACATCTCCTAACGTCGTTTGGCCGAGAGGGTTTGAAATCCACGAACTCCTTTCTTTTCTCCCGATCTATATCCGACATGAAGCCTTCAAGGCCGAATACCTCCGAGCTCGACTCGGCACTCGAACTATTACAATGCATCCCGGCTATGAAGTTCCTTACTAACGCAAAGAGAGACGATTCAGCCTTGGATGGGACCCGGACGATAAAACCCACGAACCTCGGGCAGCTCACGCTCGGCCTCGGTCTGTGTTGTATACGGTACGGTACCCGCAAGAGTTAGCGGCTGCGGCTCGATGCCGGCAACTAGGTCGGCTCGGTATCGGAACGACGACAGCGGAAACGAAGAGTTCGAAGGTGGTCTGATCGGTCGGACGGCTCGAGCGAGCACCACGACGAGAGGTGGTCGCGGCCTGAACAAACGACGGTGGGTTACGCTCGTGAGGCGGCGGACGTAGGTGATGATGGCGAACTTGCTGTGGTGGCGTCGGGCTGCTGCTGGTCCGCCGGTAATGGAGGGGAAGCTGGTGCGGCCGCGTCGGGTTGCTGCTGGTGGTTCGCGGCGAAACAACGACTAATGACCGAAATAATTTAAAGAGTTGAGTGTCATGAGAAGGAGAGGTGGAGCGAATATTTCCCTTGCTAAATGCCGAGACGGAAAATTGAGAGTAAAATGGAGAAGATTATTGCTAAGGAATAATGCTAATTATAAAACCCATTTTTTGTTGTCTCTCTTTCGGGTTTAAAAATGAAAATATAAGAATAGGTCAAAGCTCTTAACGCCATATAAATCAAATCAGAGGTTACGAATTGAGGGAAATCAATTAGCAGTAAGTGGCTTGATGGCAGGTCATAATGGTATCAAAATTTTATGATTGGTATCAAAATTTTTGGAATTTACAAATTGAGGGAAATCAATTTTTATTAAAAATGGTCAAAGGTACTCCATACTGAGGATTAAATGGCTAATTTAAAATAGGGAATGATGTTACAAAATTTGAAACTTAAATTCAAATGCACTAGCATGCAGGGCCGGACGGAATTTTGAGTACGAGCGCGCGGTTTAGTTCCAGGTGGTCCGGATTCTCGGCGCGTGGCTCTCGATTAAATATCCTGCTAAACTCGATACTCGTTTCGATAAATAAAATAATATATGATTCGGCTCGGTTCGATCAAACGGTAAATTAAAATAAAATCGGAACATAAATATTTATATATATATATATAATACACAATAAATATTAATATATAATAATTATACACACAAATAACATTTATTTAATAATAATAATATGCATTTAGACATTTAATAACATTTAGGCATTTAGCACAAATAATAATAATAATAATAATAATAATAATAATAATAATAATAATAATAATAATAATAATAATAATAATAATTAATAATTAATAATAATAATAATAATAATAATAATAATAATAATAATACAAAATAATTAATATCAAATAATTCATAATCAAATAGGGTATTACAACAATTTTAAAAGTTTCAAAAAACTAAGATAAATTTTTTATGGTTATATTTAAATATTTTGATGTAAATATTTCTTAATTTAATACTCGTGTAGTACACGAGTATTGTGCTAGTTGACATGATCATGCGATACAAACATATGTTAGTGGCTAATGTGGATATTTTTCAAATCAATTAATGTGTTTGCAATATATTATTTATAAATTATTAACTATCCTAAATACATAAAAAAGGGATAATCTCATTTTATACAATAAAGAAGTAGCACAATAAGATCATATGTTTAACATAATATTAATAATTATAATTCTTATTTATATATTGTCAAAAAATTCTTTGCATTTTAATTGGAATAATCTTGCAATAATCATCATACTATTTGACAATTCAGAATCTTGTGGAACACAAGTGACTTTTCAGTTAATATTAATACAATTAATAAAATTAAATTTATAGATATTTATTAATTTCATACTATATAAAACACACCTGCACTAGTTAAATTAAATTAAATAGACAAATAAATAAATAAAATAAAAAATTCAAGTTCAACTCTCATAGCCTTCCATTCAAAAAATACAAACTGGTACGCCTCCCTTTATTCTCTCCGCTCCCTTTTCATCAATCTTGATTAGCCCAAACAAGCTCCACCCAAAAACTCAACTTCACCCCTTCATTTTCCCTTTTATTCCTTTTCTTTTCTTACAATTTCTTGTATGAAAAAATTAGTGAAGCGCAAGGTAGAGTAGATGGATTCGGTGGCTCTTGATGGTGTAATAAACCGGTTGCTTGAGGTTAAAGGGCGGCCGGGAAAGCAGGTGCAGCTCTCTGAGTCGGAGATCAGACAGCTCTGTGTGCAGTCCAAAGAGATTTTCTTGCAGCAGCCTAATCTTCTTGAGCTCGAAGCACCCATTAAGATCTGTGGTAAAAGACAACTGAATTTTCTGAATCTTTTTTCCCTTACCCTATTTGGGTTTTGTTCATTTGGCTGTTTTAGTTGTTCTTTAATTTTTCCCTTTTCTTTGTGTTTGTGTGTGTGCTTGAACAAGTATTTTTTTTTTTTGTTGGGCTTTTGTTTCTTGATTTTCGTGGGATATGTATGTTTCTTGACTAGCAGTAGACTTATGTGGGGAAGATTTCTTATCTTATGTGAAATATTGTGTGTTTGTTGTTGGAATTCTTGCTACTCTTGTATGTCCTGAGCTGATTCGGTGTCGTTTGGATGCGTAATTCATACCAGGATTTCTTCTTTTGAACATTGTAAGAAATTATGAAGCTAATGTGGATAGTTTAGGTTAAAAGTTTCAAGCTATTGATTTCTATTTTTCAGGTGGAGCTTACTTGAGAACTGATGTCCAATAGTTATATAGCAGAATCCATTTCAGTTTCCACTCTTTAGAACCTTTTAAGTTGAAGATAATTGATATTTGTTGTAGTAGACTTTACTGCCCGTATATGTGTGACATGTGAAATTGCACGATTATACGTCTGATGTTATCCTGTCGCTTGCTGTTGTCACTTCAATTAACATGTTTTTATTGCTTTCACTCTTGGATGGCCTGATAAAAAATCGAAACCGCTGCATTAATCGGTGTTTTTTCTGTCAAAAGATGTGGTAATTGTTTGTAGGGAAATGGATTGGGGTGAATACTTGCGCATTTAGCAATGACCACGCTTATGTGATTCTGGATCACTGCAACTACTACTTAGTGTAGAATTCTTATAATAATTTGCAGCTTATTTCATGCTTCACCTGTTCAGTAAATGCTGGATGTGCACATAGTAGTATTCTTGTAATACGAGGTTTACATATATGTCAGGTCCTTTCAGCTTTTTAAGAATTTGATTACCAGGAAAGGGTTCTGTTATGTCCCAATTATAACTTGAAAAAAATACCTTCGTAAACCGTTAAAGACAGTGCCCCTAGGTATGTGTGTCTATATATTCAAGTGTTCGTGGGCATGCTTTATGTGTAGAAAGCTTTTTGGTTATGTGACTATTTTAGGAAGCTGCATTTGGAAATGGTACCTAATTCTTGAATATGGTTGATATCAGTGGTTGTCTCCTTGCTTGTAAAGAATTGATAGATTGTGATTGAAAGTCCTTCATTTAGTGTTTCTGTCTTCTGCTTAGAATAGTTGTTAATTTTTCAAAGGGGATATGTTTTTAGAGTATGACTAGGTATAGGGTGAGAATGTCAAGATGAAAGCGGATGTAATTTAGAAAAAGTAAAACAATGATTGCATATGACTTGTAATAGGATGTGTGTTGATGAATAATGCAATTTGTGAGAATTTGTGTAAAACTGATAGTTGAATTGATATTTTCTCTCTTCTTTTACCTTATCCTGACAAATGAATCCGATTGATGATCCAAAAAGGGTGAGTAAAGAGTGTACTTTCTTGAAAACTTTTCACATCATGTCGGAATAAGAAACCGAAATCTCTAGTTGAACAAATTAAAATATTTTGATTGGCCAAATAAGAGCATCAATTGCGTATGAAGAATTTCCTTGTAACACATAATTCATGATGTCTCTTTCGAATCGTTTTTGTACAAAACTATGGATATTGTGAGAATTTCTCAACTGTTGGCTGTCTTTTGAGAACAAGCAGTTTAGGGGTAAATGAGCATGACATGAAACATTTAACTGTCTGACTATAGAGATTGGTGATTATAATGTCGAGAAATTAAAAACAAACAAAAAAGATCTTTTATGTTATTAACAGTTTCTTTCCATGTTATTTTATTTCTAAATATTAATCACTTAATCTTTAGAACCATTGTTAGTATATACAGCTATTCAACGGTGATTGTGATTCTAATGTAAGATACGTATTTGTTCAATGATAATCAGCATTATCTTGTTCATTCCCAACAAATCATCTCGCTCACTGCCAGCATCTTACAATGTCAAGCATCTAGTGCAAATTATTACATGTGTCATAGTAAAACTCATGCTGAACTAGGTTAACCAAGTTGGGCAAGTTATACGGGATTCATCTTCTCATCTCATTACTGGAGGCAAATTCATAGCTTTTCTTTAATTTTCTTTTTTCTTTCCCTCTCTCTGCCCGAATAAAGTTCTGAGGGCTGGTTTAGTATACCACCCCCCTCCCTCCCCCCCAAAAAAATCGAAATATATATAGCATTGGTAGAATTTACCATATGAGAAAATGTTTAAATCTAAGAATCATTATTTTTTTTTTCTTGGCAGGGGATATTCATGGTCAATATTCGGATCTCCTTAGACTTTTCGAGTACGGCGGGTTACCCCCGAAATCCAACTACCTATTCTTGGGGGACTATGTCGATCGAGGCAAGCAGAGCCTAGAAACAATCTGCCTTCTGCTCGCCTACAAAATTAAATACCCTGAAAACTTCTTTTTACTGAGGGGCAACCACGAATGTGCCTCGGTCAATCGTATATATGGTTTCTATGATGAGTGCAAGAGGAGGTTCAATGTGAGGATCTGGAAAGTTTTCACCGACTGTTTCAACTGTTTGCCTGTTGCTGCTCTAATTGACGAGAAGATTTTGTGCATGCATGGTGGGCTCTCGCCCGACCTTCAAGATTTGGACCAGATTCGGAATTTACAGCGTCCAACTGACGTACCCGAAACGGGCTTATTGTGTGATTTACTTTGGTCAGACCCTAGTAAAGATGTGAGGGGGTGGGGGATGAATGACAGAGGCGTGTCTTACACATTTGGCCCTGATAAGGTGGCCGAGTTTCTCGAGAAGCACGACCTTGACCTCATCTGCCGTGCTCACCAGGTTTTCGACTTTTGTTTACATGGCGTCTTGTGTGTCATGTTGGAATTTTTTTGGTTCTGTAGGTTTTTCTTTGTTTTTTTTTCGTCCTAACGGCTATTATGCAGTTTTGTCAAAATAGTAATTTATTTATCTTCTGACTTCGATTGGAGTTTTACAGAACTCTGTCTCTAGCACTCTATGGGATTTGGAGTTTGAGCAAATATTTAAACAATTCTGAGGCTGGAGTCATCTGGCCGAAATGGCTACACCATATTAATATACTAGAGAACCTCTCTTGCACTTAAGCCGTTTTGTCTTGCTAATTTTTGAGTGGGGCTAGTGTAATTTGGAGTGTAATTAACACTGAGAACTTTGCTACAGGTTGTTGAGGATGGATATGAGTTTTTTGCTGATAGGCAGCTCGTGACAATATTTTCTGCCCCGAATTACTGTGGGGAGTTTGATAATGCAGGGGCCATGATGAGTGTAGACGAAACCTTGATGTGCTCTTTCCAAATTCTAAAGCCCGCTGAAAAGAAGCCCAAATTTGGATTTGGTAGTACAACTACTACTACTACTACTACTACTACTACTAATACTACTAAGCCAGGGACTCCTCAAGCAAAAGCAAAGGTACCAATCAGAGCTTGAAATGATTTAAGTCGAAAATAGAATTGTTCTAAGTAATGAGATGCATGTGGATTTTACAGTCTGTTAATTCAGTGAATGACAATGACCATTTCTCTCCACAGAGCCTGCTTAAATATTTTACTTCTTTCAATCGAAACCGTACACATGTATACATTTGTTTGTCCATTATGTTTGTGATATTAGTTGATTTTGGCTATACTGGCAAAAATGTAAAGCAAGGAGCATTTTTTTGTCCATTATGTAGGCAATAGCTTATTATGCAGTGCTTTGTGCTATGAACCTGCTAATAGTAAAACTTCGACTTATCTGCTAGTAGTAAAACTTCAACTTATCTGCTAATAGTAAAACTTCTAACATTGTTTTTTTATATTTTTTTTTTCATTTTTCAAAAAACTTTTTGTGAGCTTGGAACATCATATTTGGTCACATGTACTCAGCTCTGGATAATGTGGACGGTCGGTGTTAAAATTGCTCTTCAAATGTGATTATTTGTTTGCTAACTATTCAAATTAACTGTATTCTGGTTTCAATTTATATTTGCAGACATTTCTTGGTGCAAAAATAGGATGAGATAAGTAGCTTAAGAAGGTAAAATTGTGATAATCGGTAAGGAGCAAAGACAGGACAGCTTTGTGGTTTTTTAAAGATCGTGCTGCTGTTTTTGGAGATTGGCAAGACATTAGTAAAAATCACCCAGGATAAAAAACTGGGGAAGGCTGTAATAATTCCTACTTATATGTCTGACCAAAAGATTTTGTGACATTACGTATTAAACTGGGAAAATCAAAAGGACTGCTGGACCTTGTGAAGCATTCATTTCATAGGGGGGTCGGATGTAAAGGTGATCGAGGGTAAAAACATCGAACTAGGTCCACACTGAATTTGTCGAGTGCCTGTAAAGTGTTACGAGTCAATCTGGTTTTTGCTTAATGTTATTGTGGGTGGATTTCCAACAATTTTACAGGAAACAAAAATGAAACTGTGATTCAGACTGGTTTGTTAACAAGTGTTTGGCCAGAGCTGGGAATACATTTTTAGCTTCTTAAGTTTTTGAATACATTATAAGGTGATAAAGATTCGGGTTTCAGCGCATCGTTTTAGGTACCAAATTTTGTATTTATATATATTTTTGATAAAAGAGAGTGATAGGGGCTAAGAGGTAGAGAAACGGAAGAGTGGGAACCATAAAAATTATTTTGGAAAAAATATTAACCGGTTTTCACATGGACAAGACATGGCCACGGGTCAACTGGCTTGCTGACCTGGTCTGGACCCGGCACGGTCAAACCCATTGACCAAGGGTCCGGGCCCGGCTTGGATTTCAACCGGGCTGATCTAGGGTCGGGATTTTTTCGACCCTGACCTGGTGGGTCGGGCCGGATTAGTACCGACACGGAAAAAACATATGGTTTTCGAATTTTTCTTTTTTTTTTATTAGGGCGGGCAAACCCGGGCCGGGTCGGGTCATGAAACCGGCACGGACCTAAGCTGTGCCGGTTCAGGGTCCGCAAACCCAACTCGTCGGCCCATCGGGCCGGGCCAGGGATTTGGCCATGCCTAACAAGGACTACTAGAAACTTAGGGGATGTTTGGATATATAATCTTTTGATTTTGTTTGGATTTTTTTGTTTGGTATGATTATTTTGGGAAAAAAATGTATGGTTAGTTTTTTTTTTTTTTTTTTTTTTTTTTTTTTTTTTTTTTTTTCAAACGATAGAATTGCTCATATAAAAATAAGAAAGTTCAACGAGTTCACAGTACCCACAAGCCGGGGAATGGGAACACCAAATACAAGTGGGCTAGAATAAAAACATAACATCCTAAATAATCAATCAACCTAAATGATTATGGGGTCGTAGCAGTCAAACTCGACCGAACCTACAACCCCTCACAACTCACAACAAAGACAAACAAAATAAATCCCAGAGACATCAAGACTAAGAGAAAAACTACAAAGACAAACAACTCAGCCTAAAAACAAACTAAGAAAAGACTACAACCTGTCACCTTCCTTAGTGCAAAAAAACTTGCCATTTATGGGTTGCTACTTTCACCAGGGAGTGGGCAGGCCTTCTGGTTGCTTCAAACAACCACAATTTTTGATACTTCCACAACCACCAAAAATGTACGTCGAGAGTAGGATGCAGGTTTCAGAAGTCTCTGTCTTGTCCAGCTGACATATGTTCCACCACCATGTTTTGAATTCTCTCTGCCTGTAGGTCCATTCCATCTCAAAGGAGCCATCTTCCGTACCATTTGAGCATACCTGCAATGAAAAGGAACATTTTCAACAGTCTCCTGCTCTTCTCCATACTGCTTACATATTTGATCCATGTTGATGCCTCTGCTCTTCAGGTTTGTGTACATTGGAAGAGTTCCAGTGTAGCATTTCTATATGAAGTGCTTGACTTTTGCCATAACTTATAATTTTCAGCTTCTATTTCGAGCTTTGGTATCTAAGTGCAGGCTGCCACTACTTTGGGGTTGATCTTTCAGAAGGAACTTCTCAGTAATAAGGTGAGCATAGGTAGAGTGTACTGAGAACATTCCCTTCTTATGCAAATTCCATGCCCATTCATCTGCCTGAGTAGGATCAATGGAGTTTATTGTGAGAATAGCTTGACTAAAGTGAGCTGAAAAGGTTTGTCTAACTTTCTGTTCATCCCAACAGTTTCCCTCTGAAGTCATAATGTCTCTTACAGTTTCAATTCCCATACTTCTCTCTGGTAGAATTTCCACCTCCTTGCCTATGAAGCTGGGAATCCAATTTTGATCCCAGACCTTTATACTTATTCCATCTCTCACAATAATTTGCATCCAATTTTTACAAGATTTGAGCACTGTGAGCCAGTTCCCTCAAAGACATCAAGAATTATTCCTCTTCTGAGCTTCCAACAAGGATGAGTGTGGAAAATATTTGGATTTCAGGACTCTGCTGACTAGCCTGTCTGGCTCACTAATTAATTTCCAGAGCTGCTTTGCAATAAGAGCTGTGATGAATAGTTGGATATCTTGAAATCCTAAGCCTCCATGTTGCTTAGTCAGTGTGACTTTATCCCAGTCAACCAATGCAAACCCCTTTGGAGTTCTGCATTCTTACTCCACCAGAATGTTGCACACAGTTTAGAAATTTCAGAGCATAAGCTTGCTGGAAGAACAAAGCATGACATAGCAAAGACATGGAGGGCAATGAGAACAACTCTAATGAGAACCTTCTTGTCTGCTGGTGTGAGCCATTTATTCTTCCAACTAATTATTCTCTTTTTGACAATTGTGACTATGTATTCAAAAGCCTCCTTCTTGAATTTTCCTATGCCTAGGGGCAATCCCAAGTACCTGGTGGAAGAGTGAATTTGAATCCCAGGCAAAAGGGAACAAGAAAGATGCTGCAGAGCCATCGAAGAGTTTTTGCTAAAGAAGATAGTCGATTTGCTCATATTAACTTTTTGGCCAATGAATTGCTGGAAAGCCTGCAAAATGCTATTCAAAGTCCTGATTTGGTGCTCATCTGCTTTAAAAACAAAAAAAATAGTATATCATCTGCAAACATCAAATGGGTTAGAAGAGGCCCATCCCTAGAGATCCTTATACATTTGAAGATACCTTTCTCAACTTCCCCATAAATCTTTGCAGATATGAGCTTTGAGATGATAAGAAGCAGATAGGGGATAATGGTTCTTCCTGTCTGATGCCTCTAGAAGCAGGGATATAGCCACAATATTTACCATTCAAGTTAAAAGAGAATGAAGGGAATGAGATGAATGCCATGACCCATTTAATAAACTGTCTGTGGAATCCCATCCTGAGCATTGTCAATTGAATGGCTTTCCACTCAACACAATCAAAAGCTTTTGCAATGTCTAGTTTTAAAGCCATAAAAAAGTTATTCCCACTCATATGCCTATTAAAAACATGGAAAACTTCATGTCCTATCACCACATTATCCACCAGTTGTCTACCAGGGAGTAAAGCATTTTGATTCCCAGAGATACAGACAGATAAGCATTGTCTCAGTTTTAGTGCAAGGAGTTTGGAGATCAATTTGTAAAACACATGACATAAACTGATTGGCCTGAATTGAGAAATAGAAACTGGATTTAAGCATGTGGGAACAAGAGTTATTAAAGTGTGCTTCCAATACCTTAGCATTTGTCATGATTCAAAGAAACTCTTGACTATTGCACAGATATCCTTACTGATGATTGGCCAGAAGTGCTGATAAAACAATCTTGCCATGACATCTTTCATTAGAGCCTTGAGTGGGTGGATACTGAAAAACTGCTTTCCTTATATCATTCTCCTCCACAGGGGCGCTCCTCTGTAATGGATGTGGGGATAAGTGGCAACAATTCATGTCCATTTGTAGTTCCCTGGGAAGTATACAGATTCTCAAAGTATGCAGTAATGGTGTCCTCTATCTCTTTTTAATTTTCACTAAGAACATTAGTTGTTGTCAAAAGCCTGTCAATAGAGTTCATCTTTGTCCTATAGGCTACATACGCATGGAAAAACTTAGCGTTGCGGTCCTCTTCCTTAAGTTATAAGACCCGGGCCCTTTTGCTGCCAGAAAATCTCCTCAGACCAGTAAGCTTCTTCTAACTCTTTCTGAAGATGATCCCAAACTTCCTAATTGCATTCTCCTCCTTCCTTTCTCATTTCTTCTGAGGTCATGGTCAGCTTATCAAATTTTCCTCCATCAGTATTTCTGAAGTACCTGCTCCAAGTTAGTAAAGCTTGTCTTGCCTTCTTGATTTTTTCCTTAACTGAGAACATTAGATTGCCTTATGAGGGAGTGTCCCAAGCCTCTTTAACTACATGTGTTACATCTGGTTTGGATAGCCATCTTTTGTCAAATTGAAAGCGCTTCTTATGTCTGGTGTGAGAATTTCCTGAATCAACCACTAACATACAGTCGTCTGAAGCACTTTTAAACCAACTCAGAACTTAGTTATGGGGAAAGTGCACCAGCCATTTCAGAGATGTAAAGACTCTGTCCAGGATTTCCTTCACATATCCTTCACCATCAAGGTTGTTGGCCCAAGTGTATAATTGTCCTTTTAGAGGAATCCCTTGGCCTCCCATCTGAGCAAGAAAGCTGTTGAAGCCCCAAAGGCTACTGATACATCTGCTTCTGCCACCTTTTTTATCCTCTGTACTGCAGAGATCACTCCAATCTTCTGCTAAACACCAGATATCTCCCCAAAGTTGCTGCTCTTGAAGAAGAGCATTCCATTGGGCCCTTCTCTCTGCTTTGCAAGTTGTTAGTGAGATTTTGTGTTTATATTAAAATAATATTTAAAATAAAATAATTAAAGTTGCTTTGATGTAAAAGTAAGGAAGATATGATTAAAGTGATAATTAATTAAAATTATGTGAGTGAATGAACAGTGAATTAAAGTCGATGTTCTGTAAGACAGATTGAGTTGTATTATTTAAAAATATTGATAACATTAACGATAGTGAGGTTGATTTGAAGTTGAGTTACATTTGACTTAAAAAAAATGATTGGAATTTTGTAAAAAAAATTTGTATCCAAGCATCCTCTTAACTTTTGACGTAATTAGAAACGCTCACTAGACGAAATAACTAGGTTTTTGTAGTTTTTTAGTAATAACATAATCTTTATTAATAGGTTTTTAAGTTTGAAAATATAAAATTTTAACTTTAATACTGTTGGTGAAATTGAATTCCACCCGGGCTCCTTCAACTCAGACGTCCTCCGAACCTGCAAGAACCCGACGCTGGGAGGGGTCCTGGCGTTGGGCCTCCGACGCTCAAGTCAATTCACACCAAAACTCCAAATCCTAAAAGAGTAATTATGAATGTAAAGAGAGTGAGAGAATGAGATACCTTAGCTCCCTTTTATAAGGGGGAGTGTACCTTATGGCCAAGTTGGATTTGTCCAATGCCATCATGCCACGTGTCTGATGTAGAAAAGTGTACGATTGAGAAGGATAAACGAGATACTCTCTCGTAAAACACACAAAACTCACAATATCATATTTATCCTAAAAAATTCATCACCACATAACAAAGCAAAAGAACCCTTTAAATAAGATCCTCAATCTAAACCCTAGCTTATTCCCAAAGCTAACTACTAATTATTTTTTAATAATAATAATAATAATAATAATAATAATAATAATATTATTATTATTATTATTATTATTATTATTATTATTATTATTATTATTATTATTATTATTATTATTATTATTATTCTACATCATTCTCCCCCGTAGGATTCGCCCTCGAATCCGACCCGTTCCCGTTAGAGACGTCCTCATGATAGGAATAGCCTGACGTTTCCTCCGATCAAACAAGAAAGATGATAGTTGTCCAACAACCCCGATGGTAAACATAAGCTTGAGCAAGTGTTGTACTGTAAAGGTACATTTACACGCCTCCCTACGTATAACCCACACAACAGAATTAACACCAAATATATCACATCGTTCACCATGCTCAAATCCATAACTACAGTTAAGCATCCCGTTGTTGGGAGACTTCAGTACATACAATCGAAAAATGGCCCACCAGTTATTGAGCCTCGCCTTCAGTTCCAAAAAACCATCTTTTGCAAAGATACTCCAAAAATCATGTCTGAACGACGGCTCCCCATTCGAAGGTTCAACCTCCGTGACGTCCCACGCGGGATCCATATTGTCGCATGAATATGTCTTCATCACTGGAGGCTCCTCATAAAAAATGGACGGACCATCGTACAATGGCCCGTCATCTTGCTTTTCGTCAAATTTGAGGATGTCCACGCAAAAAACGCATTTGGACTGCACCTGGCGAGCCCGAAAACCAACCTTGCAACCAAATTTCTTCTGCACAATCCTAATTTTTGCATCTCATTCACATGCCCAAAAAACGCTTTTGGACTGCATCTGGCGAGCCCGAAAATTGCCAACATCGTTGTCGTTCAGAGGTGGCGGGGATCGCTGCCGGGACGCCCGACATGGATGCATCCCCCACGTCCGCCTCTGTCTCCCACGCGACTGCCACAGCCCACAACCCCATCGGGGTTCGTCTGCAATTCCGAAACAATAACGTTGTTAAGGGTCAAATTCAAATCCTTGATCCCCGTCGAAAGATCGACAAACAAATCAGTGAAACATACGTCCAATTGTTTAAATCGGTAGGCGATCTGTTGAAACCAATCGTTGAAGGTTGCATCACGTCGTTCGTTTGTGACATCTTGCCGTCCCGACGGCATCGCGAATTGTGATGACTGCTGATAGCAACTGATTTAGGAAAACGTACGATTGGGAAGGATAAACGAGATACACTCTCGTAAAATACATAAAACTCACAATATCAGATTTATTGTCAAAATTCACCACCACATAACAAAGCAAAATAACCTTTTAAATAAGACCTTCAATCTAAACCCTAGCTTTCTCCAAGCTAACTACTAATTATTTAATAATAATAATAATAATAATAATAATAATAATAATAATAATAATAGTAATAATTCTACGTCAGTGTCCTAGCCCATTGTAGGCTTATTCTTCAACATATTCCTTTATTCTCCAATATATTCTTTTTTTATCCATCAAAACCGGTCTAGTATAATATACTATATCAAATACTATATGGGAGAGGTTAGAGGTGTGAGTTTACAAACGAGGTTTACATAATCAAATCTTCCACAAACCTTATTAGTAAAAAAAAAAAAAAAAATGAATACACACATGAAAGTATAATGTAACAATTTCTTTTACACCTTAATACATACATTGTCTTTATTTTACACACCGTCCCATAAAAAAAACCAAAAAAAAAAAAAATAAATAAATCTTTTTTTCACACCAAAACTCACGAAATGATATGCGATATAAAAATCGCATATTTAAATGAACCGCATAATTTAAACCCTGTCAGATATTGTCGCATATAGACCAACGCATATCCAAATCGGACGAATCCTCAAAAATATCCATCATCTCTTCCGCCGTTTTTGCCCCGATATCTCCATCAGCCGCATTATCTACCATGTACTGAAGATTCTGATGGAGAGAGTGTAGATACATAAAAATTGTGTCTAATCAAATCGCGCCACGTGGAAATTAATTTATTAAAAATCAAGTTATATTTTCTATTTATATTTAGGAATTTCCATATATTTAATTCCTAAATTTAAATAGTTAATTAATTGATATTTTAATATTTTAATTCTTGACCAATCAAATAATGCCAAGTGTCAAATCCTTATTCTTGGTAAATAAATCATATCTTCTAGAAGATCTTGGAAGATTTAAGTGGATCTAGAAGATCTTGGGAGATCTAAATAGATCTTAAAGATCTTATGTGAATCATCATGGACCAATCAAATCGCGTCCTACGATTCTTAAATTTGGTAGGGTGCTCTCTCCTACACCTATAAATAGGGGCTCTCCCTAATGTCAAAAACACATCTTTATAATTCATATTTTCAAGTTCAAGAGCTCTAAAGAATTCTCTCTACAAGTTTCAAGTGTTCTTGAAGTTCGAAGCCGTTCTTGAAGATTCGAAGGAAGATTCAAGCACATTCAAGCTCAAAACCGACGTTCAATCCGGAAACAAGCTGTCAAGCCTCCGAATTGCGTTCATATTCAAGTTCAAGTTCAAGATCTCTTGACGAGATTCAAGTGTTCTTGAAGATTCAAAGGCGTTCTTGAAGATTCAAAGCAAGATTCAAGCGCGTTCAACCTCAAGACTGGCGTTCAATCCGGAAACAAGCTGCGAAGCCTCCGAATAACGTTAGTAAATTCAAAACCGGCGTGAAGAAGATTCGAGATCTACTTTGCGGCGAAGACCAAGGATTCGTGTTCTTCGCGTTCTTGGGATATTTTGACGTTTGATCCGGGAAAAAGCTTTCAAGCCCTCGGATTACGTTAATTCAAGTCAAATCAAGTCAAGGAGAAGATCAAGCCGAAGATTTCGCTCCAAGACTTAGATATTGTTTGCGAGAAGAATCAGAGGAATAATAGAGATTGTAACCCGCTATATTGTTTTGATTCAAGAAATTTATTTGAATAATATTTTTCGTATTTTTTAAATTAAATTCACGAAATTTGTTGTTACAAATTTTTGGCATGCCCGGTGGGACCTCTCTACCTCTCATCACTTCTCCAAAGTTCCTCACGTCATCATGACTAGCCGCAAGATTGCCGTAGTCAAGATTCCTTCAACAAGTTCCTCAAGTTCCAACCTCGGCGTTGTTACAAGAAGCATGGCCAAGCAACTGCAAGCATCTTCGGAGACGGCTCCTTTACACGAGGTGATTGGAAGTGATAAGCTGCATCTTACCCACGAAGGTGATGAAGACGACTCTGCTTCTTCAACTCTTCATTTATCATCGAGTTCTTCATCAAGCTCAAGTGTCGCTCCGGCTATGACGACCAATGCTTCAACTCTTGAAGAGCACATCGCAAGCTTAACGAAGGTTATTGAAAGGCTCGCGTAGAAAGTCGAAGAGCAAGACTCTCAAATCTCAAAGCTAATGGACAAGGTCGACAATGCTGAAACAAGCCACGCAAAGGGCAAACGAACTGAAGATCGTGAGGAGTCTGAAACGTCCAAGCAAAAGCAATATGAAGAAAGAGAGAAGACTCCATTCCAACACTCGTCCACGGGAATGATCCACATTGATCAACTGAAGGATTTCATCATGGGAACAATTAAGGACAAACTTGATGGTGGTTCCAAGTCAACCCACAGCTACGTCAAGCCATATTCACCAAGGATCGATAACTTGAGGATGCCTGTTGGATATCAACCTCCCAAGTTCCAGCAATTTGATAACAAAGGCAACCCGAAGCAACATATAGCCCACTTTATCGAGCCATGCAACGATGCGGAAACCCATGGTGATTATCTCGTGAAGCAGTTTGTTCGTTCACTTAACGGGGTTGCATTCGATTGGTACACTGATTTAGAAGCAAACTCCATCGATAGTTGGGAGCAAATGGAGCACGAATTCCTTAGTCGCTTTTACAGCACGAGACGTACACTCAGCATGATCGAGCTCACTACATCTCGACAATGGAAGGAGGAGCCAGTCATCGACTACATCAATAGGTGGAGAAACTTAAGTCTGAATTGCAAAGATCGTCTGTCTGAGGCTTCTGCCATTGAGATGTGCATTCAAGGTATGAGTTGGAGTCTTCGTTACATCCTTCAAGGAATTCGGCCGAAAACATTTGAAAAGCTAGCGACTCGAGCCCACGACATGGAGTTAAGCATGACCGCAAGAGGAGCTAATGGGCCACCAATCCAAGAACCCCAAAGCTCCAAGGATAGATACGAGCAAAGGAAAGGGGGCAAGTTTTCCTCGAAACCTCAAAATAAGGAGTCCATGACGATCAATGCTATGCCTGTCAAATTCAAAGGAAAATCTGCTGATAAAGCCGTTGAAAAGAAGGATGTCCCTAAGGAAATTGAACAAAGAAGGTTGACTCTGAAAGAAATGCAAGCAAAGCAGTACCCGTTCCTTGATTCAGATGTCTCTGGCATATTTGATGATCTAATGGAAGCAAAACTCATTGAGTTACCCGAGATGAAGCGTCCCGAAGAAGCTGGTAGGGTGAATGACCCAAAATACTGCAAATACCACCGTCTTGTAGGGCATCCAATTCATGACTGCTTCATATTCAAGGACAAGGTTATGCAGCTGACACACCAGGGAAAAATTTCACTAGAAGAAAGTAGTGCAACTGCTAATCATATAAGTGAAGCTTGCAACATGACGAATGAGCACGAAGCTCCGCTAGAAGAAAACAATAGGCCTGAGGTTGAAACTCACCATGTTGATAACGATTCCATGATGGTCTTTACTGATGAAGATTTGCTGCTAGGTTCTAAGCCTCACAACAGACCGTTGTTCGTGGCCGGCTATGTGCAAGAGCGAAAGGTTAATCGAATATTGATTGATGGAGGATCAGCAGTCAACATCTTGCCTCTTCGCACGCTGAAAGAGTTAGGAATGACTACGAAAGAACTTGGTAATAGTCGACTGATGATTCAAGCCTTTAACCAAGGGGGGCAAAGAGCTCTTGGCATCATAAGGTTGAGGTTGCTGATGGAGGATATGGAATCAACTGCTATGTTTCATGTCATCGATGCAAAAACTTCTTACAATATGCTTCTTGGTCGTCCATGGCTTCATGAGAATTGCGTGGTTCCGTCCACATGGCATCAATGCTTCAAATATTGCAAAAATGGCATTGTGAAGACTGTGCTTGGTGATGATAAACCTTTTACGGAGGCTGAAACGCATTTAGCTGATGCCAAATACTATTTCAATGATGCAAAACCAGTTGAGAAAGTCTCGTCTAAGCAGCATAAAGGGTCTGAAAGTGAAGAATCAAAGATTGAAGAGGTAGAAAACTCTTTAAAAGAGTTAGTGTTGCCGCTGCCGAAGGTAGATGACGAGAAACCTATCTCCCAACCACCCATGAACTTTGTTCGTCCAAGAAAAGGAGCTGTGACGGAGCTGTTAGAGGTATGCTGTAAAAGCTGTGTTTTGCAGTTTCTATCAATTCC